CAGGATGCAGATACAATTTAGGTTTTATACAATTTAGGGAAATGTGTAACTTAAAATGAACTGTAATAAAATGTGATAGCTACTTTATGAGCAATATGGGCTAGTGGCTGTCAAAATGCAGGAGTAAAGATTATTAATTTTACATGGGAGCCTCCAGGATGTGTTTAAGAGAAAACACCATTTGCATGATTCAAGTAAGCAACTCTTGAGTTAAGGTACCTTCTTTCTGTCCTGGGGAGGACTTTAATTAGGACTAGAAGAAGAAAAGCTTACTTTCTTTGCGTGTGGAATGAGTCTTATCTGGATTTCTCTGTGCTAAATAAGTGGCTCTCACAGCTTTTCACAGTAACCGATAAGCTCGTTTACAACATAAAACCCAGAAAAATCACATGAGGCTATTTAGTGTCTTGTAGAGACTGACCTAAAAATTAAACCTAACACGATATAGTACAGACAAAAATTAATTGATTTGCAATTGAAAAGCAGTCTGTGTTCAGAGATCTGCAGGTTACCCTTTGTTATTTGAGGCCCATGACTTGTGTGGATAGTAAACTCCTGGCAATAGGTAGCACAATTGTTCTCTCTAGATGCACTCAGCGTTCCAATTTGCACAGTCTTAACCAAGGTTCTTCCATGTTACCCTACAACTTCATTTTATGTCTGAAACATCCAACATTATCCTGAGAAGTACTTAAGTGTACTTAGAGGTTTACCCCTCCTATCTATGTACTCATCAATTGAAAACTCAACCACTTTATTTTCTTTAGTTAACAAATATTTGGTGAACACGTACCATGTGCCAAATACCATTATAAATACAGGGGCAGGGCTGGGGCAATACAGTTAGTGGCCCTTTAATCAAAACTATATTACCATGAAGAAGGAAAAATGAATGTGAGAAGAATCCAGCCATTTTCTCTACTACTTAATAAATGATAATCGACATTGTTTGTAGGAATGTAAACATGGCTAGTGTTAATGTAGCTCAGTGGGAGGGCAGAAGAGGGAACACCTTTGAGCTATGGGATAAAATTGTCAGATACCCAAGTAAAGTGATCAACTGCATATAGCACTGAAACAATCCACAGTTTTTTGGCTATACAAAAAATATATTTATGTTCCCTTAAGCCCATAAAGACTGTGATGCAATGCATCATATACATGGTAATGAACATGAGAGTCTTTTAGGATTAGGAAATAATAAATTTGGTCTCATTCCTTGTAATGGTTACTTGTTGAACCAAAGGATGAGATGGTTAATGATACAAATTCTGGAATCAGGAATCTAGTTCCTGATCCATCCAAAGTATGACATTGATCAAGTCACTGAATCTCTGAAAGACTCAGTTTCCTGTCTATAAAATGAGAGTTATAATAATTGCCACAGAGTTGAGTTACAATAATTAAATTAGTAGCCGGTGTGCGTTACTTTAAAAATTCATTATTATTGCTATTATTAGTAGTAGTACTACTTGTTTCCTCATTTATAAAATGAGGGAATTGAAGAAAATAGTTATTTCTGCTTCAATATGCTATAATCTTAATTATAGGAAATAATGTTTGACCCATCTTAGCGGGAAAGCCCAAGAGGCAGAGAATGTGAAGGATAGAGCATGAAATTTATATATACAGTTTGGGTAACCCCATAAACAAGTTTAGTATGATACAAATCCCTTCCCAAATTTTATTTGATTTAGTGCCCATTCAAAATAACTGGAGTTTGGGGAAATATAAAATTTTAGAAAACTCTAACAAAAAAAGCCCACACACTCAACAGATGGCTTTTTCTCTAGAGATGTACTTCCCACAGGGTCATTTCTAAAGAAAAATTCTTAATTGCTCCTTGCTTTCTAAGGCAAGCACTTAAGGGAGGCTTCTCCTTTGCACTTATCCCAGTTTCCCTTTTGTCAGGTTGAAGGTGTTTACCGTTCCCATATACAGCATGCACTTTTCAACTCTGCATCCTTATTGGAGATATTTCTCTTCATTCTCAGGTTGGTGAAAAATGCATTCATCAGGAACTGTCAGATGGAGCTTGCATTGTAGACTTTATTTTTTTATGATTTATAGGAATGCATTCATGATTTTATCTATTATGTTATGTGTGTAGGTGTATGAGAGAGACACATATAAAAGAGACATTTTTTCAATAAGATTATATAATTAGATAATTACAAATGCTTAATGGAGTGCATCTGATAATTTTTTATATTTTTATGTGTTAATATGTAATATCTCTTTTCATAGTCATAAATGCTCAATGAAATGGATATTATTATTATTTTAAGTCACATTGGGGAACAGAAAAAGCAAAAATTAAGAGTAAAACATGTCCAATTTTATAAAATAAGTCATAGACCCAGGATCCAACCAAGATCTGACCATAGAAACAGAACTCTTTAACTGGGATACATTTTCGTTCTTATTCTTTTCGAGATGGAGTCTTGCTCTGTTGCCCAGGCTGAAGTATAGTGGTGCAATCTGGGCTCACTGCAACTTCCGCCTCCTGGGTTCAAGTAATTCTCCTGTCTTAGCCTCCCAAGTAGCTGGGATCACAGGCACACAACCACACCTAGCTAATTTTTGTATTTTTAGTAGAGATGGTGTTTCCATGTTGGCCAGTCTGGACTATAACTCCGGACCTCAGACCAAATACCCGCCTCGGCCTCCCAAAATGCTATGATTAGTGGCATGAGTTACCATGCCCGGCCTGACTGGGATACTTAATATTGCTTCATACTGGGTCTGGAAAATAATCCATATTTATTGGTAATTTAATTTGAAATAGAGTGATTCAATAAGCAAAGTTTACTTGTGTATTCTTGACTTTACAGGGTGAGGAAACCCTCTAAATTTTCTTGAGGTCCCCATTTCTCTATTTCTTCATAGACTTTGCACCCCCCAGGATCATATCTAACCCCTAGTTTCCGGTAATTTTATTATTGCTATTTATCATCTAGATAACCATCACTCAAGGCTCTATATTTAACTTGTGGGAAGTACTGACAAAGCCATCTTCTACATTCTTGTTTATGCTGAATCATCCCTGGTGCTACAGAATGAGATAAGACTTTCCAAGTAAGAATCCCTCTATTGTCAGTCTTTGAAAATTACATACAGAGGAATATTTCAGGAAGCTGCAGGCATAAAATGTTGAATCAGAAATCTGGAATTATCTGTTGACGGGTCTGTAATCTCTGTTTAGATATGAATATAAGGATCTTAGATATTAATTTAACAACACTGTAAGAAAATTGTTGCAGCCCATACATAAATATATTCTAAGGCAGTTTATACAGTTTTTAGAACTTTATTATTCATTTTTAAAAATTTACCACTAATTAATGTCTCAAATTTTTATTAATTAAACCAAACCCCTGAAGCCATGTAGAATGTAATCTATTTCAGTTAGTAATTTCCTCCTCTATGCATAGAAAAATGTTTTTTCTAATTTTGGTGTTTGAAAAGTTTTGGATTTCCACTGTGAATAAGGGTGCACTTATTTTCACTATGCAATGAGATTTATTTTCCTCAAATTGTGGTTGAACATAGTTTAATACCGCAGAATACAAGAAAGGTCTTGGGAATAATCATTTGCTCTAGAGATAATATATAGCCATGAGAAGGTATGAAACAATTCATTCTCCAACGAATATACTGTCCTGCTGAAAGCCTATCTCAAGATTCTTATTAGATTGACTTGCACTCTTTGTTCTACAGAATATGAATGTTCATTGACAAAATATCTAATTAATGGAATTTCTCTCATACCTATATTAAATAAATATATATAAGCTATATGTATGTGTATATACATATAGATGTGTGTGTATATATACATATGTATATACATATATTCAGACATGTATGTGTGTGTGCATGTACATTTTTAAGTTAAATGAATGATGTGTACAGTAAATAATTTATTAGGTAGATTCTGAATTACTAAGAAATTTGGCAGGGCACAAAGATGTCCCATTTGTTGGAGGAACACTCGTGGATTATTCTCCATTATATCTGCTAACATCATGTCAACCACTAATAGTGCATGATGTTACCTGTATTTATTAACATCATGCAAAGTACTAATTCTATTTCTAATATATTTAAAATATAATTTGAGAAACAATTTTAAGAAAAATTTTCATGTTATACATTCTGTGTTTGAAAATAAATTTGCAAACTGTCCAAGAAACCTTCCTAGAATGCCATTGAATTCCCAAAGAAAATCACTTTCTAAATATCTGTTCCCATTAAAACTCTGTAAGAATGCATCAAAGTTTTAGAAAGTATGTATTTACATTAGTACTTTCATAAATACTGACATTAATGTGTAAATTTTATTTATCTTTTAATCTCTAGAACATAGCAGTATATGATATCTAGTAGCGTGAATGTGAACAAGTAATTCACTCTTTAACTTGACTTTGATGGCTAGTGTAATCAGTATTCTGTTCTTCACTTGAAAAGAATGCAAATATGAGATTAGAATAAAAATATTTTTATGACATTTTAGGCTGATTAATTATTTAATCATATGATTTTCTTCTCTAATTATTAAAAATAGGCTTATAATGAAAAAGAGATTAGATTTTAAAAGCACACGTTTTTAGTTCCATTACAAAAAGAACCATAATTCCCTATTATTACCTTAAAAATATGAAACTCAAAATATGCCATCATTGGAAATGAGGGATATTTAAGAAGTAATCTTACAAATGTGACTGCTTGCAATACTTAATCCCAGCATATTTCAGTCACTAAACTTTGTATAATTTTTATATAATAGGGACTGTCTACATTTATTCACCATAAAGCCTATTATATAACTGGCGCTGAGAAAAGATTTGTGAAAATAATGCAAAGTGTAATCACAGATATTGTATAAAGGGAGCATAAATAAAGATATAAAATGATAAATAAAAAATTCCTAATTTTTTCTTTCATTTTATTTTAGTTGTCACAAAGATTTGTAACTCCTATTGACTTAGAATTGGAAAATGCTCAATTTCACCGATGTGCCAGAGTTCATTCTTCTGGGGCTAACCAGCCATCGGGAATGGCAAGTTCTCTTCTTCATCGTTTTTCTTGTGGTCTACATTATCACCGTGGTGGGCAATATTGGCATGATCATGTTAATCAAGGTCAGTCCTCAGCTTAACAGCCCCATGTACTTTTTTCTCAGTCATTTGTCATTTGTTGATGTGTGGTTTTCTTCCAATGTCACCCCTAAAATGTTGGAAAACCTGTTATCAGATAAAAAAACGATTTCTTATGCCAGCTGTTTAGTACAGTGTTTCTTCTTCATTGCTCTTGTCCATGTGGAAATTTTTATTCTCGCTGCGATGGCCTTTGATAGATACATGGCAATTGGGAATCCTCTGCTTTATTGCAGCAAAATGTCAAGGGTTGTCTGTATTCGACTGATTTCTTTCCCTTACATATATGGTTTTCTGACGAGTCTGGCAGCAACATTATGGACTTATGGCTTGTACTTCTGTGGAAAAATTGAGATCAACCACTTCTACTGTGCAGATCCACCTCTCATCAAAATGGCCTGTGCTGGAACCTTTGCAAAAGAATATACAATGCTCATAATTGGCGGCATTAATGTCACATATTCTCTGACTGTAGTTATGATCTCTTATTTATTCATTCTCATTGCCATTCTGCAAATGCACTCAGCAAAAGGAAGGAGGAAGGCCTTTTCCACATGTGGGTCCCATCTGACAGCTGTCATCATATTTTACGGTACTCTAATCTTAATGTATCTCAGACGTCCCACAGAGGAGTCTGTGGAGCAGGGGAAGATGGTGGCTGTGTTCTATACCACAGTGATCCCCATGTTGAATCCCATGATCTACAGTCTAAGGAACAAGGATGTGAAAGAGGCCATGACAAAAGTGATCAGCAGATCATGTCAGACAAAATAAAGTCAAATTTGAATTAATTTTGTCTTTTTTTTTTTTTTTTTTTTTTTTTGAGACGGAGTTTCAGTCATGTTACCCAGCTTGGAGTGCAATGGCGCGATCTCGGCTCACCGCAACCTCCACCTCCTGGGTTCAGGCAATTCTCCTGCCTCAGCCTCCTGAGTAGCTGGGATTACAGACACACACCACCATGCCCAGCTAATTTTTTGTATTTTTAGTAGAGACGGGGTTTCACCATGTTGACCAGGATGGTCTCGATCTCTTGACCTCGTGATCCACCCGCCTCAGCCTCCCAAAGTGCTGGGATTACAGGCTTGAGCCACCGCGCCCGGCCAATTTTGTCTTCTATTATTCGTTTGGAGAAAGGTTATTTCCTAGGACCTAAGAACATTAAGAAAAGATACTCTGTAGGTTGAAAAGAAAAATAAATGTGATGCAAATTGAGAAAATATAAGGTAGAATGAATCATTTCTGTTGATGTGAGTATGGAGATTAATTAAATATGAATAAATTAATTAATTGAAATGGTGATGTGTGCCAAATTTCATATGTGTACTAATGGAAATGCTCAAATTTGAAATGAAAAGACATTTTCTGATTCAAAAGTGCAGTTGCATGAATTTAGGTCATATTTATTTGCCCATTTAAAAGCAAATTTGGGGCAGAAAAAAAAACTCAAAATATTTAACGTGGCTTTCCAATATAATGACATAAAATAGCCGTCTCACTAATGCTTATGAGATTTTTTGTTGATTAATGCTTCTTTTACTCCATGGTGTTGGGTCTATTCGGAGACTGATACTTGGAAAATAGCAATACTTTTGTATTTCATGCTTTTTAACCTTCTGGTGTTTCTTAAGAAACAACACGGTAAGTGTCTCTCTTTCACAGATCACAGTAACTGCTGTGTTTCAATTCTAAGACTGCCAGTCACCAAGCTATGGTTTGCCCAGGCCAGTGTCTTCACTCTGAAGAGTAGGAAAATTAGTGGAAGATAGTGTCATTGTAAAAGCAAGCCTCTTCAAATTCCACAGGATAAATTACATGCGGGATATTTGGTACACCTGTGACCAAAATATGGCACTTACATATTCTAATCAACTTTTGCATTTCAAATAAATTCCGTATTTTGGATGCACTATTTGTTGTCATCAATAACATTTTCTGACATAATAATAGGAACATAATTTGACATCTCTCTTGCACCTTATTCACGAAGCATAAGAATGAAGCTGCAACTTATTTCATCAAAGTCTATGTCCTCAGACCAAATGAATAAATATATAATCACCTTCTGTTTTGATGCAAGCAATATATAGCCAAGAAATGCAATTAATACATTTTGATTTCTATATTTAAATAATTAAAAATTATCTGCAAAGATATGAATATAAGACAAAATTGGTGCCATCTAAGAAAAAAAGCATTCTTCTTTTTTATTTAGCTTTCATTTTAAGTTCTAGGGTACATGTACAGGTTTGTTACATAGGAATACTTGTGTCATAAGGGTTAATGGTACAGATTATTTTGTCACCCAGGTACGAAGCCTAGTACCTATTAGTAATTTTTCCTGATTCTCTCCCTCTTCCCAACTTCTACCTTCTCCTAGGCCTCCATGTTTGTTGTTCCTCTCTATGTGTCCACGTGCTCTCATCATTTAGCTCACACTTGCAAGTGAGAACATAAAGTATTTGGTTTTCTGTTCCTTCATTAATTTGCTAAAGGCAATGGTCTCCCACTGCAACTATGTTCTTGAAAAAGACAAGATCTCATTTTTTTCTTATGGATGCATAGTAATCCATGGTGTATATGTAGATTTTCTTTACACAGCCTGTCACTGGTGGGCTTTTGGGTTGATTGCATGCGTTTGCTATTGTGAGTAGTGCTGCAATGAATGTACATTTGCCTGTGTCTTTATAATAGGACAATTTGTATTCCATTTCTGGGTATTTCTGTTTTGAGGTCTTTAAGGAATCAACACACTGTCTTCCACAATGGTTGAACTAAAATATATGAGGCCAAGAATCACATGAAAAAGCTCAACAATCACCGATAATTTTTAAAATGTGAATCAAAAGCCTAATGTGATACCATCTCATACCAGTAAGAATGGTTATTATCAAAAATGCAAAAATCATCAGATGCCGGCAAGATTGTGAAGAAAAATAAACGTTTGTGCTCTGTTGGTGGAAGTGTAAAAAAGCATTTTTATTTGTCCATTTTTTAATTTTATTTACCTCAAAAGAAACCACAAATGCAATGAACTCATTTCTACATACATACACATAAATCATGAGCAACATTGTAAAACCTTTTGCATACATAAACAAATTGCTAATTTAGGTTCAATTATAGTGTTATCGTGTCTTTGGTTGAAAATTGTTAAACTTCTATAGGCTTTTCATATATAAGGTACACAAGGTTATTTTGGGATTACTTCAAAGCTAAAAGTAATATTTTTTGGCAATACAAACATTTATTTGCCATTTGGTGGAAACTCTTGATATGCCAAATTAGTTTCTTATTATTAATACTTTTCAAAATATGTTCTGAAAGCATTTTATATTTTATCGCTTGCGGCGAGTTGGCAGGTAAATTTGAACCACCTTTGTTACCTCTTTTTTTCCAAAGGTGAAATTCATTTTCTATTTATTTTCCTTTTTATTTTTTCTTGTTAGACAGAGTCTTGCTCTGTTGCCCATGCTGGTGTGCAGTGGCCTGATCTCCGCTCACTGCAACCTCTGCCTCCTGGGATCAGCAGTTCTCCTACCTCAGCCTTCCAAATAGCTGGGATTACAGGTGTGTGCCACTACGCCCAGTTATTTTTTTTTTTTTGTATGTTTGGTAGAGATGGGGTTTTGCCATGTTGGTCAGGCTGGTCTTAAACTCCTGACCTCATGATCCTCCTGCCTCGGCCTCCCAAAGTTCTGGGATTACAGGAGTGAGCCACCATGCTCAGCCTCTATTTATTCTTTTGGAGAGTTAGTTTAGTGTTACATAAAGAATGATTAGTTAAGGTCAGTGGTCAAATCGTTTTTCTGAATGTGGTAAATATACACTATCACCAAGAAAATGTGGTACATATGCACCATGGAATACTACACAGTCTTAAAAAAGAATGAAATCATGTCCTTTTCAATAACATGAATGCAGCTGGAGGATATAATCCTAGGTAAATGGAGGCTGGAACAGAAAACCAAATACGGCATATTCTCACTTACGAGTGGGAGCTAAACATTGGGTACTGGTGGACATAAGAATGGGAACAATAGACGCTGGAGACTATTATAGTGGGATGAAAAGAGTGGGGCAAGGACTGGAATACTAACTGTTCTGTACTATGCTCACCATCTGGATGATGGGATCATTTGTATCCCAAGCCTCAGCATCATATAATATAATATAATAAAAATTGAAATTTTTTAAAAAAGAAAACATCAGTCCTATAACTGCAAGAAACTAAATTCATAAACACATTTATTAACTGGAAAGAGGATCCAGAGTCTCAGATGGAACAACAGACCTGACCAAGAAATTGTTTTCTGCCTGGGGAGACCCTGAGCAGCAGGCCCATTTAATCTTTACCTGAACTCATAACCAATAGTAATTCCAAAATAATAAATTTATGCTGTTTAAGTTGTTTAAAAAAAATAAAGTCCCCAAAAATGTATATCAGGATAATAAGGAGAGATTACAACTCTTACGTACAGTTGGATAGCCAGACTTTTATGTCTAAAGGAAAAATGAAATGGTGGAAAATAATGAATAGCTCTGCCATGAGGATCACAAAAAAATATGTCCTTAGCAACCAACAGAATGGGAAAAAAAATTTGCAGTCTACCCATCTGACAAAGGGCCAATATCCAGAATTTACAAAGAACTAAAACAGATTTACAAGAAAAAAACAAACAAGTCCATTCAAAAGTGGGCGAAGGATGTGAACAGACACTTTACAAAAGAAGACATAAATGAGGCCAACAAACATATGAAAAAATGCTCATCATCACTGGTCATTAGAGAAATGCAAATCAAAACTACATTGAGATACCATCTCATGCCAGTTAAAATGGCGATCATTAAAAAATCTGGAGACAACAGATGCTGGAGAGGATGTGGAGAAATAGGAACAATTTTACACAGTTGGTGGGAGTGTAAATTAGTTCAACCATTGTGAAAGATAGTGCGGCGATTCCTCAAGGACCTAGAAATAGAAATTCCATTTGACCCAGCAATCCCATTACTGGGTATATATCCAAAGGATTATAAATCGTTCTACTATAAGGACACGTGCACACGAATGTTCATTGCAGCACTGTTTACAATAGCAAAGACCTGGAACCAACCCAAATGCCCATCAATGATAGACTTGACAGGGAAAATGCAGCACATATACACCATGGAATATTATGCAGCCATCAAAAATGATGAACTCTTGTCCTTTGTAGGGACATGGATGAACCTGGAAACCATCATTCTCAGCAAACTGACACAAGAACAGAAAATCAAACACCACATGTTCTCACTCATAGGTGGGTGCTGAACAATGAGAACACATGGACACAGGGAGGGGAGCATCACACACTGGGGTCTGTTGAGGGGAAATAGGAGAGTGACAGCACGGGGTGGGGGGTTGGGGAGAGATAGCATGGGGAGAAATGCCAGATAAAGGTGAAGGGGAGGAAGGCAGCAAATCACGCTGCCATGTGTGTACCTATGCAACAATCTTCCAAAACCTGTACCCCAAAACCTAAAATGCAATAAAAAAAATATGGCCTTAGAATGTCAGATTGTGAAGCCCATTTCTGTAAAAACAGTCGTTAGCTTGAGTAGCCCTACATTTTGTACCTCATCCTGACTTTTTAGAAGCAATTATGGGTGGTTTAGAAACAATTTTCATACTTTGCTGTCAGAATGCAAATTTCTGAAAGAGTATGTATCCCACCTACCTTTACTCAGATCCATTCTTAGTTGCTAGGAAAGTGAACAATGGTAAATTTGCATGA